TTCGTGCCTGATTGGGGTGCGGCCAGGGTTCGTAAAGATAGGGGCGGGGCTGACTTGCCGGAAGAGGTGGGGCCGTGGAGCGCAAGCCCAAGGGGCAGGGCGTGACCGGAGAGAAGTAGGACCGTGGAAATGACAGAGGAGAGGCGGGGCCAGGAGTGACAGGAGAGGAGGTGGGCACATGGAGTGATGGGGAGTAGCCTGCTGGATGTGACAGGAGAGGAGGCGGGTCCATGAAGAGACCAGGGTGGGGTGGGGTCTGGGAGTGACAGCTAAGGGCGGAGTTCGAGCGGGAAAGGGCTGGGCTAACGAGAGGAGTTAGGTCAGGCCCATCGTGGAGCCGCCCCGCGGTCTGATTGCACAGTCCTGTCACCCCACAGAGTCGGAAAGCCTGGTAGAGTAGGGTTCTTTCCAAGTGACACCCTTCCTCCCGGATCCCCCCTCTGAACAACACCCCCACTCCGTCCTCAAGAAGAACTCCTCCCACGACCTTGAGGGCACAGCTCTGATTGTTCTCTAACCTGGGGGCCAGCTCAGATTTTCACCCACCTCTGACGACATGCCTTTATTTTCTTTGCCTCCACAAATCTCCATCCTTATCTAAAGTATGAGATTCATGAGGTGAAGACTAGGAGGTGCCTTCTAGTCTTTGCTATAAATTCATCTCCTCATTGCTCAAGTGATAAACCCCAAAAAGGGAAGGAACTTGCGCAAGGTCACAGAGCTAACAACGACCAAGTTAGGGTCAAACTTAGGTTCCCTGACTTCAGATCTGTTTTCACTACCTCATCAGACTGACGCTAAGGCTCGTCAAATATCAAAGCCTGTGTGACAAAGTGGAATCATTCACATTCTTTTTCCTTCACCAAAGGACCTCTCCAGTCTCTTTCAGGACCTCTTCCAATCTCTACTTCACCAAAGGACCTCCCTCCTTGCCACAATTCAGGTTCAATTACCCCCAGCTTCCCTCTTTCTCCTCTACCCAAGAAAGAAGCCAGGCAAGACTCTCTCTGTTTCGCACTCACTACCAGGAAGGGCCCATCAGTTCAGACTGGCTGTTAAGACTTGTGACCTCATCTAGCCCAAACTACCTTTCTACCTACTCCCCTTTCTACCTAGAACCCGAGGGGAGGATTTTAGGGTCCACTAAAGGAGTATAGATATCACAGAATGGACATGGACTCCATTGAAGAGAAAGATACTTCATTTGGAGACAGCAGCCACACTGAAGGGACACATGCTCATTGAAGGTACATGGATTCTAATAAAGGAACACAGACCTTTCTGGGGGCTCTCAGATTCCACTGAAGGATTCTGACTCTGCATACAGGACATGGATGGCAATGAAGAACACTGACCCTACTGAGGAAACATGGATTTCCCCATAGGAGATACAGAAGATGTAGATTTTACTAAGGAGACATGGACCCCACTGAGAGTTTTCCAACTGCACTGAGGAGCCTCCAACTATACTGAAGGAGTGGTTATCACCAAGGGAGCACAGACCTCATTTGCAGAGACAAGCCCCACTGGGGGAATCAGACCTCACTGCAGCCTAATAGACCCTATGGATCTCATAGAGGAGGTAAGAACCCCTTTGTTCTGGAAGGAAGGAACATGCAATCATAGACATTCTACCTACAGATGTATAGATGGTAATCCTTTGGCCCCATCCCTACCACAGAGCTCTGAGCAGCCCTCTCTCCTTGCTATCTTCTCCCAAACCCTAGCGTCATTCCCAGCCTACTGCTGCCCCCTCATGTCTTCAGGTGACACTGCAGCTTTTGTGTCAGCATAATTACAAGCAGTTAGATCATCTCTGAGCCTGGAGTCTGGGGTTGAGGAGGGAGAAGATGTGTTCAGAGGCTTAACCAACTCCTTCCCTCTGCCTGTGAACTGTGTAATATAAGTCTGAACCAGAGGCCTCGTAAGAGAGGTTATCTCCCTCACCCTTGAAGATGGAGAAGTAGGAAGCTGTAGTGTCATTGAGATTTCTGACAGTGGGGAAAGGATGAATGAGTTTGGATGGACTGAGAATCTTTGAGATTAAAGCAATGATGATTATGATGATGATGCCATTTACTGAGAAGGTGCCAAGACATATGCTAAGGGCTCTCCATCTGTTATTTAATCCTCATGCATAACCTCTAAGAGGGATATTATTATTCTCTCCATTTTTCAGATGAAGAAAGTTATACTCAAGGAAATTAAATTTCTTACCTAAAATCACACAGATGGTGAGTGAAAACACCAAGAATAGAAGGCAGCACCTAGACTATCTCCTGCCCCTTTATCTACCCTTCCTACATTACTCCATTCCTGCCTGTTCCACCAAGAGCATTACCTCTTTCTCAGAGTGTTGTTTTCAGAACCACATTAAAAACAAAACACAGGAACCAGCAGTTAGCGTAATGGCTATGTCGCTGGACTCCCACGTAGTCGACCGCGGTTCGTGTCCCGGACCCGGTGGCTTAAAACTCACGCCAGGCACGTGTGCGTATGTGCCCAAGATCCTGAGAGGAGAATGGAGGAGAAGGGATTGCAGCGTGACCATCCCCCCTGGGGGGTGATTTCTCGCTTTCTGTCTCTATGTCTCTCTCTGTCTGTCTGGCGAGCGCATGCGCCCT